ATGTGGCTCAACGTATCCATACGTCAACGTAGTAAGACGTTGCGTGTAGTATAATAGATTGTGAAATATATATTGTTACAGAACGTAACTACACGTCGACGTATCTAGACGTTGTGTTTAATTAAAAAAATGAAAAATGATCATATGTAGCAGAACGTCACCATACGTCGACGTATAATGTCGTTCCAATCATAGTTAATTAATCAAATAAATAGAAGTACTAATGAACGTTTATATACGTCAAAAAAAATGTATGGGAAAAACAGTGCTCCATCACAAGTTTCGAAAAACTGAGCACCGCACGCGAACGTGTTAATAACATTATTTTTATTAGAGATGCAACGAATACTTGTTTGGCCGGATACCGGATACCGGCTGGTAGTCAGGCCGAATATCTCCGGCCGGCGAATATTCGGCCGGCAGTGTGATATCACTTACATTTTGAATTTCGTAGGTGCGTGTCGCGTACCGCCGCGCCGCTTGCCATGCAGGTTTTGACTTGTCTTTATAAAAAAATTAAATTGTTTAAAATAATAAAAAGATTTAATTACAACTACGCAGTTGTAATTAAATCGAAATAAAGACGCCTTTATTTCGATTGGATGGAACTAATTAGTCATTAAATGTATCTGAGTACCGCGGTTAGCGAAATAGCAGAAAGAAAGAAGACGATAAAAGAAAAAAAATCGACTTCATAAATTTCGGGAAAATGCGGGGATTGGGGAGATTAGAGGGGCGATAATTGGGCCTCCGGTAACCCCACTCACACGACGAAATATAACGCAAGCGTTGTTTCACGTTGGTTTTCTGTGAGGCCGTGACATTCGTGGCGAAGCATGACTTTTCCACACATAAGAAGAATAAATAAAGAGAAACAAAAATATATAATCTCTTCACTGAGTTGGTGTCAGCCCGTGCTTCTCAATCACAACATGTAGACTTGAAACCAGTAACTATTGACTTAACTTGTGATAGTAATTCTTGTCATTCTACAAAAACACTTTTTTGTAGTAATAAAAGATTAAAAAAGTACATAAAAATTAATAAATACATAACTAAAACTAACAGGCTAGTTAAAAGACAAAAGTTCTTTATAAAAAATGTAAAATTAAACAAAGAACGATTCCGGCTTCTAAACCAACTTAATACTTATTCTATTAAATTAAATCAACAGAATAGGAGATATGACACTGACACCCAAAACTTAAAATCAGAACTAGACCACTTAACATCAAAGTTGCACACCATGACCAATAAATATAGTGCATCTGAAAACCAAATGAGGGAATACATGTTGGCAATGAATGAGTTAGTGCGGTCACAGGAAAACCAGTGTGAGAAGTGTCATTCTGATGATGTACTGCCTGCTTGTTCTATGCCGGCATGTGATTCCACCCTACCTCAAGGTGCCAGTTCATTGATTCCTAGCCATTGTAACAGTACAAACAACAATAACATTGTAATCTTCAGTGATGAGATTGGGAAGAACTTAGGTTCTTTACTGACAAATATTTGTCCTGGACAATCAATAATGAATCACTGTATGCCCGGATATTCTTTTAGTAATATTTTGGAAAAAATTATCAATTATAGTTTTAAACAAGATTCTACCCTCATAATTATGTGTGGAAATAGAGGTAGTTTAAATAAAAAAAAATTATTGCAATTTTATAATTCACTTACAGAGCTTAAAATAAAGCAGATCATTTTGTTTACATTACCTTATAGTAATAGCTTGCCACAGGAAGAAAACAATTTAAGATTTAAACTAAATATTGCTATCTATAATTTATGTAATAATAGCAACATACATGTAATGGACACCAACAATTTAGTTGGCAAAAATTTATATATGACTAAAGATAGGTACTATCTTTCAAAATATTATATAAGACAAATAGCGGTGTCGCTATCATATTTTTTAAATATTACAGCCAAGAACTTGGCTAAACAGGTTGCTCCTATTGAGCAACTTTCAAATATTGACATTATTAATAATAATTCAATAAATATTGACATTTCTAATAATTTAAATTAAAAAGTAAGACAATAGAGGGAACCTCTTGCAAATCAAACAGTAGTGTTATCAGTCTGGTTCACCAAAATATTCAAGGTTTTATGAGCAAGGAACTAGAAATAGAGTTATTTTTGAATTGTAATAATGTTGACATTTTGTGTATTACTGAGCATTGGTTGAAATCTCATCAACTAATGTTCAATTTTGGTAATCACCAGATTGGTAGCTCGTTCAGCAGGGAGAACGCTATACATGGTGGTTCACTAATATTAATAAATAACAAACTTAAATTTAAAGAACGCAAGGATATAGTTAGTTACTCTGTTGAACGCACTGTTGAAATAGCTTGTGTGGAATTAGAGCGGTTTATTGTTTTAAGTGTGTATAGACCACCTTCTGGTTTGTATGACTATTTTGAAACAGTAATAGATGAAGTATTAAATAAACTCAGTAGCTCAAATAAATTCATCATTACCTGTGGCGATTTTAATGTAAATTTGTTAGAGAATTCTAGTCTAAGCACTAAAATTGTAAGTTTATTTGCCTCATTTAACCTTGCGAACTTATTTCTGGAGCCCACTAGGATAACTCCCACTAGTGCCACTTGCCTGGATAATATTTATACTGACATTGTACCAATTAAGAAACAAATTATATCATTGCTTGATTCAGATCATTGCGGACAGTTAATTTCAATAACAAATCATGTAAATACAATGTCTAAACCATTTATCACTGTCAACCCAAAGACTGAAAGACGCATTGAAACCTTCAAATCTAAAGTCACTCAAAAATTACCTTTGTTAATGAATAAAAATCCTAATAATTTGTATGATGATTTTTTTAATATGTACCATACCGAGTTTAAGTCTACCTTTACACCTAAAACTATACCAGTTAAAGGCAATGTGTCTTTCAA